ATTATTTTATTGATGTACAGTATCCATATTTACATTCATGCTATGTGTACATACTGCTCATTAATGTTCACAAGCCAGGCATCTTAATGCACATCCAGGCTATTACTCTAATGCAGTTCTGGACTTGGCTGAGTTGTTCTAAAAATCGACTTATTTGGCTGCTTTTGATCATTGTCCTCCTCGCTAAACCCCACCCCCCCAAACTCTCATCTTGCTCAGGTTCCCACTGACTTTTGTAAAGGCATTTCAAAGACATTTTCCTTTGTGAAAATCACTGCAGAGGTGGACGTTCTTGCCGACTGTATCTCAGTGACTCCACCTCCTGTGGTAAAGTACTGTTTGGATTCTTCCTGCTCGCCAAATATATTCAAGCAACTACTCCAAACCTTAATCCTGACCCACTCTGCCTCCAAAGACAACATTTCCATGTTGCTTCAACACACTCCTATGAGCACAGAAATAATTGTTCCGGTGGGGTATTAATTAATTTCTATCCCATGCTCCCTGAAATGCGTCCATTCAAGCCAACTACCCACAGGATAACAGACCAAGTAGTTGTGCTGTTTTCAATTTATATCTAGTTTTATTTGCCAAGATTCTAGTAGCAGAATCATAATATTAACAATCTGACTGCCAATAATCCAATTAATTATCTTGTCCAACAATCCATGTCAATAATACACATTCTGGGTATCTTCACACTTTAGGATTCTTTATTTTCGTGCCAATTACACACATTTCCCATTTGTAATACCACAATTCCAGAAATGGAGGGCCAATAATCCAAGAACCAAAGTATTCTAACAATGGCCAATTTCTGATATTACACAATGTACTTTAGCACCTTAATTCTACTTGTTCTCAATATTCACTGAGAAATATGATGCTCTGTAAAAACAGTACAAAATTAGATAAATAGGAACTACACTGAAATAGATGATAACCTTAAAAAAACGTTTGGACTCTATACTATTTATTGAATGAGCCTTGTTCTACTTTATGAGTGGTTGGTATTGTAGATCAAGGCCGGAGAGCAGCGGAGCACTTCTGCATTCACACAATTAGCTCAAAAAAAAGAACTCTTTGAATCTTACCATCCTACGCAACTAACAAAATAAGGATCAGCAACAATTACAACTATAAACAGATGGATAAAGCACTTGCACTGACTTACAAAAACAATGTCCAATTTTAAGAACTCTTAAGAAATTTCGAAAAAGTTAAATCAAGACATTGAAAACAAGTTATGTGAATGAGGCAAAGCCAATATAATGAAACACATCTGTAAGTTTAATTTAACTTGGCAGGTTTTGAATTTTGCGGTAATGATATTTGAAGGTGGCTATGGAAAACTGCTTCAAAGAAGTCAAAATAATTTCATCAACAAGATGAACAAACTGAAGATAAATCACCAGATTTGCTTTTTATTTTAAAACATCTTGTGGCAGAGCAAAAATACGATTCTGGGAGAATTGCATGACTATTGGCATTGCTCCAGCTAAAATAAACATTGAAATAAAATCATTGAGATACTCACACCAAAAATCACAAATCTTCATACATTATTCATCTCAGTATCAATGAGCAACATACTGCACAGTCTGCTTTCTTATGCAAGACATAGAAGGGTTTTAAGTTATCAAAACAAAGTTGGAACACACAGTTCAAACAATTTATAATTTGATACTGAATTTGATCTTTCAAATTATACAAACATTTTTGCAAACTACACAGAATAGGGGCCTAGTATCCGGCTATGGAAAGTACCATGGGCTACAAAGGAATCTAGCAGCTTTAATTGTCAGACTATAGCTGTAAGATTTTTTAACTTCAATTTTTCATTGTTATATCAAAACAATTCAAGTCATTCAGCATGAATTTGACTACAACCTTAATTTGGAAAATAAACTGCAGATGAGGGGGAAAAATAAGGAGACGTTTTGAAAATAAGACTAAATAATAGGGGAATATTCTTTCAGAAATAACTGCTTAAAACTGTAAAGATGTCGGGAATATTTCAAAAAAAGGCCACAAAAGATATACCTCCAAATTGCTTAAGATTACCTTCATTTAATTCTGGGCATTTTCAGGCCATTAAACGTGCTAGGATGCTTTTGATTTGATCTGGGAGGGGTTAATCTGGAACTGCCTCTTCTCCTTTTTCCTTTGTTGTAATTTTTATAATTTAAGACCTGATTAACAAACTTTTTTTTAAAGCTTTGTTTAAATGCAGTAAATTAACCTGGCTTTTACTTGTTCTAAAATATATCTGAAAAAATCATTGGAATCAAATCAAATATGAAGCTCAAAAAGCAAAAGGAACAGCTGTCTTTGTCATAATTATATAGTTCTTTTAGAGACAGGCCTGAATTCAAGCAAGGAGAAAAATAATGAAGCTCATCTCCCTTGGTTTATGATCACAGGTCAATCATTCTCATAAAAGGGCATGAATTTATCATGTGCATTACTTATCCCCTATTTCTCTACCCCATCCTCATAATAAATATGAAAAGTAAACCATAGTAATAAGATTTATGAAAATGTTCCTTAAAAATAGTAAATGAGAAGGTTAAACAGAATTTTTTTAATATAAGAAACATTTCTTGGGATAGGTTTATTTCGAGATTTTAAACCGAACAAAAGTTTGCAAAATACAGCAACTCTAGCAAGACCAGCAGATAAAATGTGCCAGGAGAACCACCCAGTTATTTAAACAAGCTTAGCTAGCTAAGCAAACAGGGTTTCCTCTAAGAAAACAGTCAGTTCCTGTCACAGCAATGACTTTCCCCTACCAAACTTGTTTTTCTACAGTTCACAAGATGTAAAAGCTGGCATTGCATTTCTGGCTGCAGATCTTATTTTCATCATCAACAACTCTGAACTACGTACTCTTGAATTTACAAAATTAGTTTTTACTGTGGCTCAAAAATAAAGGTCTGATTTATGGGATGCACCAAGACATTAGAACAAGAGGACATAGGTTTAAAGTTGCAAATGGCAATTTTAGGATAGATACCAGGAAATACTTCTTGCCCAGAGGTTAATTAAGAGCTGGAACAGGTTGCCAGTTAGGTTGGATGAGATGAGGACAATGTGCTCATTTAAAAAACAGGCAAATTGATGTTGTGATGACAGGAGAGTATTCTGGAAGAATAAGATCAAATAAACCGAAGGTCCTTCTTCAACCAAACTAATCTTGTGGATGTTTCTTTGTTATTCTCTTTGCATATCATACAGAATCCCGATCCCCCCATGTTTACTCCTCTTGAAGGCTCTTTAGCCACTTTTTTGTTCTACTGGGATATTTTCTGCAAGTGTCAGGTCTTGACAGTTGTCAGCAAGCTTTTCCACCACAATGAGCTTCATTGCTGTGCGCAATCCTATCTGTAACCAACATCCACACATGCACAACTTCTAACAGGTATATTTGGACGCCAATCGGGAATGTAAACCCAAGTTAAGTTCCCCTCACTAACCCATGACTATATACAGTACTTCAAAGTTATAAACATGCAAAAGCAGCACAAACTGGATTCATCTGCAGATTGAATGAGGCTAAGATTTCCAGGCAGTTTTCTTAAATTATCTAAAGTTGTCAGTAAAATATCTGAACATGTTGTCATGTTCAAAATGCTGCAAATGAAGCATTAAATAACGACTCTCAATTTCTGAGTCAGCAAGTTAATCCAGTGAGAAGATGAACTATACAAACACGATGGTTGAAGGAATGATAGGTCACTTGAGTGCAGCACTGGATGATAATCAAAGCCACAAAACAATATGTCAGTAGAGAGGAAAAGCAGTATTTAGAAGAGGAAGAGGGAAGAATTCTGGTTGAGAACACTGCTGAATCTCTCCCCCTCACCCCAAAGCATCCAATTGAACATTGTGAAAAGAAAGTGATGCTGATTTTTAAAAACAACTATACAGCACCATCTTCTGGCGGTTGCAGTAACTGAATGTTTTTTGGGGGCGTCTAAGGAAAAAGGAAAGTGGTAATGTCATCACTAAAACGATAATAAGGATAAGAAAAGGCCATTTGACCCATTAACCTCAGTATTTTAATTATTTCCTATTTGGATTTCCACAATGCTCCATCATCAAATTTGTATTTTGGCACTCCCTTCTCTTCCTTCCCGCCCTCCCATCATGAACTTCCGAATGTCCTTAAAAGATGCTAGAGATCTTTGCTTGTTGTTTAAAAGATAAAAGAAAAGCTATGAATGGTGCAAACTGAAAAAAAAACTAGCGTAATGTTCAAGTGCAACCCTTCAGCAACATTTTCTATTGTTTCTTTTGTTCTACCAAATATCTTTTGATTTAGACCTCATTTCTTTTTTAAATCCAAAGAATATTATGGGTATTCAGACAGTACATGGTGGGCAACCAAGTTAATTCCAGGTAAGGAAGTTGATCCTATCTTTGGATAGAAGACTTCAAGATGACCCAATTGATGTTTTCAAGATTTGAAAGGAATGTCCTTAAAAGACATTGAGATCCAAGCAAGTCGCTTATTAGGTCACAGGATAAAATTGTTGAATTAGGCTAATCTGTGATGTGCTCTGTGATTAAACAATCTACCATCATTGGCTGTTTAGGTCTGAAGAGAAATAGCAGAGGTTTACCAGTTCCTGTGAAATTGTGCCCCCCAGAATAGAGCATTACCTTCGTAAAGGAGAAATCTAGCGATTAGTAAGGTTTGCACACTCATTTAAAACAAAAAATTGCATTGACTCATCTGTTTTATCTGAGGGATTATAGATATATACACAAACTCAGTGAATTCTCACTCTCAATTGCACTTAGCAGGTGTGTGTATGGTTCATTTCTAAACATTCAGTACAAGTGGTTGACTTCCGTTTACATATTAAAACTCAGTTGCTAGTAGATGGATGCCGAATTCACAGAAGTAATCTAGTTCTAATAATTATATTCTAATTTTGAAGTGTATTCTTATATTCTGTTAATATTAGGCTTGCATTGAGAGACAAATTGCTTACCAGTCATGGAATTTTCTGATGTGGAAAGCTGTTCTCTCAATTTATCCACATCATCCGGATGAACCTGCTCATATAAGGTGCTTCCAAACCATTCAGACTGTGGATGGTTTAAAACAGGTGTAACAGAGTCTGAAACGTAGATCACTCTTCCAGTCTCCGATGCAACTACAAAAAGGAATCCATCTGCTGCCTCCAAAATAAGATGTTTCAATTCCTTGTAAAGGGAGGAAATGAGAAAAAAAATGTTAAATTGCAAGTAAAACAAAAATAATATTCAAGGCTCAAGTTAAGTTTTAAAATTCATACAATAAAGTTATTAATTTTTTCTCACTTGTACAAAAATCACCCCCCATTCTGTTTCTGTGAAGTGCAAGAGACATTTAACTATGTGAAAGGTCCTAAATAGGTGCAAATTCTTATTGGATAAAGACTATGAAAGTTAAGCAATCATTTATGCAAATTCAGAATGTCACGGGTTCTTCTGTAACAAATTAGCTGATATCAACTGAGGCCTCATTCTTTCATAAGGCCTCAACACTGTTGGAATTCCTATCCTACAATCTTCAATCCTACTTAACCACTTCTTTCTAAATTGTTTCATTGCTGAAGAGATTAGTGATCCCTACAGACTATGAGTTTTGGCTCCAATAAAAAAATACCCATTCCAAAGCTTGTACTAACCTGTTCTGTCAAGAAAGAAGGTTTATATGCACCATCGGTGGATTTATTTCCTGTTCCCCTTAAAGACTTCATATGAGAGACAGCCATGCGAAGGATGGTCAGTTTATCAGGTTTGCGTGCTAAAGCACTACATGTTGGCACCATGTCAGACAATTCTGTGATGTAGGCTGTCATCTTGTTTCTACGTCTTCTCTCAATTTCACTGTGATTCTCTCTGTAGATTGTAACAAGAATATATTGTTTTGACAAACAATAAAAGGAAAATAAATTTGCAAAACAGTTCAGTTTAAGCTGCGAGGAAATGTTTTCCATTGACATTACAGCTTGTTTAAAAAACACGCAAAATATTTTACAACATTTTACTAAAGAAATTAAAGTAATTGAATGATACGAAAAAGATTTATTGTATCTTTTTCCTTAATTTGTAGTACTTACTTCATAATGCCTAATTCCCTAATCAAATGAAGCATGTAAACAACATAATTCAAAAAAGCAAACAATTATTGATTTTTATATAATTCCACATCACCAACACATTCCATTCTGTAATATTGACATACTTGTTTTCTCCTCACAAGATGAATACTTGCCTTAACTAACGTGTAAATGCATCCTAGACTGAGCTAACAACAACTGGTTTATTTTTATATCGTTCGCCTCGATATTTTTAACACAATCCCTGCTTATATCACACATGTAAATATCTGCAGAGCAAATAAATTCATTGTAAACTACTTCAACACACGCATATTACATTGAGAACAGTCACAGATACAAAATTTCTGATGAAAGAAAACAAATATAATTGTAATTACACATTCTATTGCATTTGTTATGAACCACATCATTATTCCATGTAATATAAATAGTATTCAGGAAAACCAAATGTGGCCTAACCTTGACAGCCGTAATTTAGTCCAATAATTCAACGTTTAAATACTGAACCCGTTAGGCCACAAATTGTGTTTTCTGTGCACGTTTTAAGTATTGTAAACCACCTCAAAAATTAAACTAGATAGGAGTTTCAAAACTGGAGGCCTGGACTTAGGCAGCACTCTGCAGGGGAGGTTGAGGCCATTATTTAAGCACAATTCTAATAGTTTTAATGTCTAGAACCCACATTAAAATTTATTTAAAAATTTGTCGAACGCTCTTGGAATATTACATGTCCCAAGAACACAGCAAGTTGTTACAATGAACCCAAATAAGTGTTTTCCACTGGTAACAATGATCAACTTCAGTCATTTCAATAAATACTGTACTGTAGCGCAAAATACATTTTAAAAATGGCATTATACAATACGACATCATGAAATATTGAACACATCCTACTTTCACCCCTTCCCTGATCTTGTCATCCAAATACGATTAAAATCTATCAAAGGTTTTTTCCAATGATATCTATATCTCAAAACACTGATACAATTTCTCCTTTGGAAAGGATATAACTTTTCATTGGGAAACAGGATGACCAAATTATATAAATTATAAAAAAAGCTTGATTTTGGAACATTCACAAGCTTTTCAGAGGTAGAATACAGCATTACAGAACATTGCAACACATAATGTTTGACCATTCAGTGATATGGTCTGCCGTTATAATGCTGACAGACAATTTAGAAACAAACGCCAAAACGATTTGGGTGCCTTTTCCTACCTGGCCAGCTTTTCTCGTCATCAGCATTCTGATCATCTTCTGACCTGGAAACAAAATCGACTCTCTAAGCTAGTATGAATAAACTAGTTTTGTGGGAAGAGAGGGAATCCACCCTCCTCTCTGTCTCGCTGCAAGACCTACCATGGTCACTCCTACCTTGCAAATATTTCTTTATCATCATGTGTCTGATGATCATCATACCTATAAATAAAATAGTATAATGAATTCAAAAGGAGCTAAATTGTCTAATTGAACTTACAGCTTTTATACATGCAAGTGTGCACAATAGGGTAAATAATGACTATGATAAAGTTCGGAGCTGTTGGATAATTTAAATTCACAGGAAAGAGTTGTGTGAATAAAACATGTATAGTCAACTGAAAATCTATTCAAGAAAATATGATAGATATTTTAGTTAGGATTAAAAACATAAAAGATTTGTAAATTGCTAGAAAGATCTGTTTTATGTGTCATAAAACAACTTGTGATTAATCTAAATACTGCATGGACAAAGCTATACGAGCATTTATGACTGTAATATTAACCCTGCATAAATATAGCGCCCCTCCATGGTCTTGCCTCACCTTACCTCTGTAACCTCCTTCAACTCTGCTGTCCCGGCTGCCGCTCCCTTCACTCAGCGAACACCAGCCTTCTTTATGTGTCTCACCCCTTCCGCCCCACAATCAGCAGGCAGGCTTTAGGCCATTCTGTCCTTGTTCTCTGGAACTCCATCCCTTCCCTTTGAGAAGCTCCCTCCCTTCCCTTGTTCAAGGTCCGTCTCAATTCAAGATTTATCTCTGTGACCGCGCTTGTGGTCATCTTTCCCTTCCCAATCCCGTTCGGCTCCCACCCACAGCTCAATGCTAAGGCAGCAATGTCAAGTGCTTTAAGACGTCCTGTCAGCGTGAAAGCCACTACATCAATGTAAATTGCATTGTGTATATGTTTAGAGGCTCCAGGTTGAATGGAAGCATAATTTTGAGGACAGCTCTTGGCAAAATTCAAAGATTTGCTAACATTTATTATTTATACAATATCCATTCATGAAAACAATTTTGTTTACAAATACTTATTTTTAGGTCCTAGCAGAAGATAAACTGCATTAAAAAGGATTTGGAGAACCCGTTTGTTAATATTGTTATATATTCTCTTATATAACAACCTGCATATTAGTGCATTTCTATTTAAATAATGGCAACAATATGTCCACGAGGTCACTTCATACCATAATAAAGTTACAAAATTAAATTGGTGCATGTCAACCTTCACAAAATATATGTTCAAACTCAGTTTACAGCCATTTTGTGGCAAAAGTATACACTTTCTTCCTCCCAACTACCACATTTATGCAGCAAATCTGCAAACTTACCTTGAAAATTTGCTAGGTCCTTCTCCATCTTCATCATCAAAATCCAGTCTAAGAAAAAATATATTTATTCAAAAGTTATTTCAATCTGCATCAATGATAAACAGAGAAAAGATCTGCAATTTATTAACAAGTCTATCAGATGCTGGCCAGACGAATAACATTGCTTTTTCAGGTTCCTTGTGCACAGCACAATCTTCCATCGCTTCTCACTGTATAATTTCGATTTCACGGGATGAAAACAGAACACTAGTGTTGTAGTTCTGCAATATCCACCTCAACAGACTTGACAATTTTTTTGTAGAATATAGCAGAAAGCCATAGTAGGTCTAAATAACTGTGAAATTGTGACTCATAAACCATTTAGCAGCTAAACACATCCTGCAGAAATACACATGGTATTTGTAAACAGATCAGTGGTACACAAAATAGAGGAGCTGTTTCAGTAGGAAGCAGAGCGTAATCTTTTTCCTGTTGCCAATTTTCTCCTCTCGTTATCTCCTAAGCATTCAGTCTATTGCTGGTGTATGGTTCAATGGTGTTGGCCAATCTCCATTACCGTGCACAAGTCCCCATTCTTCATGTGTGAGCCGAGACCCAAGGGGTTGGAACCTTTTGGCTGCTGAGGGCCAGATGCCGGATTTGAGAAATGTCTGCAGGTTACACAAGGAATATTTTATTCTGATTGGCCAGTCCCATTGCCGGGCAGAGGTTGAGCCCTCACTGACCATCTTGAGCCCTGCATGTCACCTATATTTGCTCGTTAGGACAACAAAGTTGGAAATCATTTGCAGGTCAATGAAATCATTCCCTGGGATGGATGTACCCTCCGGGCCACCAGTTGGACTACCCTGGCCTAGACAACAACAACAACATTACATTTGGAGGACGTCCCAAGGCGCTGGACAGAGTACAACATTTCAGACCTGAGCTGGGGTCATGTGGGGAGAAGAGTGGGGAGGGGAAGGGGGTAGGCCGATGGCATGGTCGAAGAGGAGGGTCTTGAGGCAGGATTTGAAGGAGGCTAAGGAGGGGGCAAGGCGGAGTGACTGGGGGATGGAATTCCAGAGGTTGGGGGCAGAGTGGCTGAAGGCTCTCCCGTCAATGGTGGGGCGGGTGGGTCGGGAGACGTGGAGCAGGCCAGAGCCGGCTGAGTGGAGGGCATTGGCGTGTTGGTAGGGGGTTAGGAGGTCGCAGAGCTAGGTTGAGGCGAGGCCATGGAGGGCTTTGTATGTGAGGACCAGGATCTTGAACTGGATCCTCAGAAGGATAGGGAGCCAATGGAGTCGGGCGAGAGTGGGGGAGATGGGGTCACGGAGTTTGGTGCGGGCTGCAAAGTTCCGGATTGTCTGCAGCCTGTGGAGGGAGGAGTTGGGAAGGCCGACAAGCAGGACCTTTGCATAGCCGAGCTTGGAGGTGATGAAGGCATGAACAAGAGTTTCAGCGGCCTGAGGGGTGAAGCAGTGACGGAGATAAGTGATGTCAGCAAGCTGTGGGGCACCACAACTGTTCTCAAATAAGTTCCCATACACCCACATTCCAGTAGAGCTGTCTGAGTAGCAATCATGAATGGGAACTTTACTGAAGACTATTACAAGTTAATGGTGTTGAACTATATTTGTCCTTGCTTTGCAGTAGTTTTGTGGAATATGTGGAACAATTAACAAAGAATAAAAACTGCAGTGTTAAATAGATCAGTTAAATTAAAGAAAACCAAATCACCACCTGTACATAGAACTGCAGATTGAGCAGTAGGGGGAATTGGAATCCGAGCTATAATGACAGATCTACTAAATGCCCCATACTGTTTAGATAAAATCCAGATCATACTATGTCCCAGATCAATGGTATAACAGTTACTCTACAATAAGTTGCAGCCTTACATATTCTATCAAGTGAAGCTTGATCCAATAAAGCCCCTAAACAACAGATGAACACAAATAGGTGGTAGCAGCTTAGGACATACTTTACTAAACAATTGCTGAGTTATAATCCAATGACCCTACATGCTCTAGTCTATGCTTTAGAATCTATGTATACTATTTGCTTTAATAAGATTTGTTAAAAATTTATTCCACACATCTGGGACCATTTGAATGGAAAATTTCACTTATCTTGCTTCCTTATCTTCAATCCACGACTGTTTGTGGGACACTGCTGTGCGCAATTGGCTGCCGCGTTTCTCCCACAAATATACGGTTAATTCACTTTACAGCATAATCTGTGAAGCGCTTTGAGACATCTAGAAGACGTGGAAAGCGCTATATCAAATGCAAGGATTATTATTATTATTATCTCTTAACTTACTTTTAAAAAATTGGAGTTAGTCAAATAACTGTATAGCAACCATCCAAATAGTGTTTAGAATTCAAGGGCAATATAAATTACCAGATGCAATTACAAATACAGTACTAATATTTTGTTAAATTTGGCTGGTACTGGTCAGCGCGACAGAATCTGTTCTTGGCAGAATATATTGTGTTATTTTGTATCACCTGGAATTTGAAGCCTTCACAACAATCTGAATTAACTCTCCCAATAACCTTGAAAATGCCAATTAGATAATCTCTAGACTCCAATTTTCAAACTTGCTCCCCTCTGTATCACCTTAAGGGCATTAATATATTTCCTAAGATTCGGTAACCAAACCTGGGCAATGGCTTCTGGCCAAAATACTACAAAGCAACAAGGTAAAGTTTTTGACTTTTACTCTATCCTTCTATTAATTACTAATCGGTGCTGGGTACAGTTCTACTAGTACCAGCAGCCGTCTGGTGCCTGACCCAAGTGATCACGTGTGAGTTTAGTCAGTGAATGTCAGTAGACTGTCTATGGAAGACACAATTAATCCAGCCCTGGCCGAGATCAACCAACTCAGTATATAACAAGAGTGAAATTCGGAGCCTTCTGATCTATGTTTAGCCTACAAAATATACAATCACTATACTTTACAATATATTCTATGAAGCGCTTTGAGACATCTCGAAGACATGATAAGGCGCTATATCAAATGCAAGAATTATCATTATTATGTGGCTTAGTGCTACACAGTTTCTTTTATTTTAAAATAGTATATGCACTTCTTTACTATATTCCAGGAATGTATAAACATTGTGCTTGCCATTCAAATTGTATTTGTGAATTACAAGTCAAGATGATTTACAGATAAAAGAAAAGCAAGAAGCAAATGGGAAGCAGATAAGTGTTTATCAACTGCAAACAAAAGTATAGAGATTCTAGTTGTCTTTACTTTCCCTGGTGAAATGGAGGACAGACTGGGGAAAGTCAAAATCGTAATATTGCTTCAAGACTAAAGAAACTTGGTGATCTGGAACATGCAACCAGATGGGCAAACTGTTAGGAAATGGAACACGTTGACTATAGTTGATGAAGCTTAAAACAGCTTGTGATTCAAGGGGGTCTCGGAAGTTGTACAGAAAGGGAAGCAAAGTCTGCGATGGAAAACGCATCTGCGTTGATGAAAAGAAAAATATACAAAAGCATACAATAGTACTAAATAAGATATGAGAGAGATTATAAGGAACAGACTAATGCAGCACACCAAATCCAAAAAGAGGCATGGACAAAGTGGTAGAATATATTTGATAAACAAAACCTGAATTAAGTTGTGGAGGATTGAGACAGTTAGAATTCATTTCCTCACTATACTGGTGCCTTCACTATCCTCTTCCAATCTGAAAGTTATTCAAGAGAATACGTGCCATCTGTGTAAATAGCACTGTGCATCATATTGTGTGCACGTCCAGACAGCCTATCCTTTGAGAGACATATAGCAGCACAATAAAGTTCTGACAATTCTTGCCAAGGCACTAGGGGATGGCTATGTGACTGAAATAGCAGAGGGGAGAGGGGAATGCAATGGTACTCTAAGCTCAATCGGCTTTGTTAGCCTGAATGATAGGATGAAGTCAAATACTGCCAGGCAACAAAGAACTCCACAATATCAAGATAATGAGGGTTGATCTGGGAGGTCAGATAACCATCTTAGTGGAAATAGGACTAACTAATTACCACCCTGATTTGGTGATATTGTCCGGTTACAAATAACTGATGTTAACTCTAGAGTACTACTATAGATTGAGAAAACAAAAGAGAGAAAGATAGTGAATTGTATGAATAGCAGGCTTTAATGGGAAAGGCTCGAGAGATGTGCACTTTTTTCTGTGAAGAAGGGCAACAGGGTTTCAATTCACTTTCTGTAACTGAGCTTTTTTAGAAGCTCGTGGTAAGATGTTTGGCAGAAAAGAAGTACAATTCAGCAAGTTGAGTTGGTGGCAAAGAAACCTTCTGCATGAAGTTAAATTAAGTGGAAGAGGAAATAAAACCATCAAAAATTTACAACCTATGGAGTTTAGGATAAATAAGTTTTAAAAAAGCTAGTGACAGGAGATCTGTTTCAAAGTGTAGCTTCAATATATGACACCACATTTTTGCCCATTAATGGTTTGGCCGTTCTAAGAAACGTTAGAGATATGAAATTATTTTCTCCCTAATCATAGAACAATATTATACCAAAGCAAGCTAGCTTTTAATCACTGAAACTCATACAAATAATTCATGCAATTGTACAGTATACAATAAGATGTTATGGTTTGTGTTCAATGTAAGGAGTCATAATATTGAAAAAATAACAACTTCCTCTTTGCATTCACTGACATGATCAAGCATTCCCCATATGATGAACAGCACTTATT